TTACTTCGGGGCCACCCTCGGGGGAACATGAGCAAAGCTCACGACTTTACAGGCTTCTAAACGAGGAGAAAAAATGTTAGACTCCATTCCTCAAGATCGAAATATAAGTACTTGGTATGAGACAGGTTTAGTAAAAATCCTCGTCCTCATCCGAATCGATAACTCCCAGATTTGCACCTTGCCTAAGAGCTTCTCTAGCCCTTTCTCTTTCTTCTTCTTTCTTTCGGGTCATAACCGTCTCACAGAACTTACTAAATGCACCCCACTTTTCCGCCGATTCCAGGATGGCAGCCACCACCGCACCCAAGTTCAAGTTCCTACCTAGCTTCTCCATCATTTCTTCCCTATCATCGCCTCAAGCTGGGCATTCCGCGAGAGTGTGCAGGTTGATATCGCGGGGGCTCGGGCAGAACGAGCAGTCTTCCCGCCTAGCCTTGCCTATGCGGTATAGGTAGGCATTATAACACCCGTGTCCAGTTAACATTTGTGTGATTCTAAATGTCAGATGGCCATGAGGCCTCCCAAACCAGCTCGACAATCTCGGGACTATAGCCGCTCTCACTTCCACTGCCGTATTGTCCCGTCTATTATACGCAGCTTTCCACTTGACAAGAGCATCTTCCAGTGCTTTTGCCCTGATGCGCTGATGCATTCTCCCGGTTATCCGAATCTCCTCATTTTGTATCGCGCGAGTATCCAAAAGACCTGCCTAAGTCTATCGCTTGAAATTCGACGGGCATCATTCTCGCCAGCAAAAAGGCTGCGGGGTATGAGACCGTTCGATAGGCCGCAATTACTCTCAGTGCTATCCTCCTCTGGACCGCACGAATCTCGGCTCCCACCCGCCGATTCTCTGTCAGAGTGGGAGCCCAAACCGGTGCCCCATAAAATATGACCGATTGAATCACTGCACTATACAACCTTCGAGCTCCCTCTTTAGAGCCCCGTAAGTTCGGCATAATCCTGGACAAGGCTAGAGACGTCTTCTCCGCTTTCGGTAACAATAGTGAGAAGTGCTCTCTGAACCTCCATCGCCGACTCAGCATTAGTCCCAGATACTTTATATTGGGGTTCAAAGGAACCACAGTGCCCCTCACCAGTATTGCGTCGTTCCGCACGAACCTATGAGCCCGAGAAAAAACACCGGCCTCGGTCTTAGCCGGGGAGACCCTTAGGCCCAGTTCTTCGATCTTTCGTATCACCGAAGCAACCCCAAGTTTCGCACGAGCTTTAGCCTCGCACAGTGTGTCTCCCAGGGCCACCACCAGCGTGTCATCTGCGTAGCACAGCGAGAAAATGTCCTCAGACAGATCCAGTTGGAACACCCCATCGTAAGCGAGGATCCAGGCCTCCGGCCCATACGCGGATCCTTGTGGGACCCCGCAAGTCATGGGCATCCTTACCAGTTGTCCCTTACAGTCCACGTAACAGACAGACCTCTCGGCCAGGTAGCTATCCGTAACTCTACGCAGATAATTCGGGACTTCCTTCTCCACCAACGCCTGTCGGATCCTTTCCCAGGGTAGCGAGTTGAAAGCATTAGTAATGTCGAGAGACACCGCAACCGCCACTCTTCCCTCGCTGTATACCGGTTCAAGAAGTTCCCGTAGTTTGAGGATCGCATCCACCGTCGATCGTCTAGGCCTGAACCCGTATTGGTGGGCCGACAGCCCCACACCTACAGCCACGCTGGTTCTAATTTTACGGACAATAACTCTCTCGAACATTTTGCCGACCTCATTTAAGAGGCATATCGGCCTGTAGGATGATGGTACTGCTTTCGGCTTGTTTGGCTTCTCAAGTAAGACCAGCCTAGCGTTTTTCCAACATTTTGGAAAAGTGCCCTCTCGAAGGCACGCCGTGAAACATCGCGCGAGTAGGTCAATACAATCCGGAAGAGCCGTTTTAACAACGCCCCCCCATATCCCATCAGGTCCCGGGGCCTTGCCAGACTGCCTAACCTTAGACGCAGCCCATTCTATCTCCTCCACCGAGACTACATAGTCCTCGTCTCACATTACCGGAAGGCGAGGTCTGTCGTTCAGTTCGCCAATATGCGTTGGAAAAAGTCCCGCCATTACTCTGGCCATCTAAGCTTCCGATAACTCTTCATTAACCGGCCTAGTCCGAGGTCTCATCTTTCCGGTTACTATTTTGTATGCCCGCCCCCAGGGATCTTTATTCACTTCTGCCAGAAGTTCAGCCCACGCTCTGTTCTTCGCCTCTTTAATTGCCTTTCTTAACGCTCCCCTGGCTTGGGCCAGCTCAGCCTCCAGGGGTGGGACCGCAGCACGGTGTCTCCTGCGTCCTCGTGTTACCCGCCTACGCAGTCGTACACACTCCTTGCGGAGTTCAGCAATTTCAGCATTCCACCAGTACACCGGTCGATTGTGGTGGTTTCTGGATCTACTCATCGCGACCCTCGAAGCCTCTGTAAGGATTGTTTGTATCCATTCTGCCAGTTGTTCCGCGGATCGATTTTCATCAGCCCTAGGCCAGAGTCTCGTAGCTACACAGGCGCACAGAAGGTCCGCATTCAGGCTTTTCAAATTCCACTGAGGGAACCCTCTAGCTGTTCGTCTATCCCTTTGTGTTCCACCTCCATGTCCCATGTCCAGAAACACATACTTATGATCGGACAGCGTCTCTTCCTCTGTTGCAACTTCCCATTTCCTGATATCCGCCAGAACCGCGTGGGAGACCCAAGTAAGATCGATGACCGAGCTCCCCTGAGGTCTCACGCATGTATGCACATTAAAGTCATTTAGCAGCCGTAGGTCAAAGGCGGCTGCCCAAGTCGCTATTACGTCCCCCCGAACAGTGGGGTGAGTGTTCTCCCACAGGTGGGACCGCGCGTTAAAGTCTCCGGTTACCAATAAGGGTCGTCCTCTTTACCTCACCAATACATCCCCAATTGCCGAGAGAAACGCACGAAACTGATTTATAGTCCTGTTGGGGGAGAAGTATCCTGAGACCACCACGCAGCCGTCCCATAGGACCGCCACGAATCCCTTTCCCCGACCAATAACGGTTATCGATTTCGGAGGTTTTGGACCCTGCCACATAATGGCAGCCATAGGGGTCGCCTCCGCCGAACCAACCCATCTAGGATCCCTCGGAACTCGGTACGGCTCCGAGATACACGCGATATCGCATTCTCGCTCCCGCATGGTTTGCAGGAGCAGATCCTGCGCGCCCCAGGATCTATTCAGGTTAACCTGCACGACTCTACGGGCCATTGCTGGTACTGGCAACGGCAACATTACTCCGATCCGCCGTATTCGTTCTTTCCTCTCTTCCCGTGTTTTTTGCCGGGCTCCTCCTCGGTTGGAGCGGTGGACACGTTCCGGAACCAGCCCTATGGTTGTGTGGGAGCCCGCGATCCTTGCAAACCGGACAACTCGCGGGTCTGCCACACTCACTTGCCTTATGGTCAGCCTCCTCGCAGTTGAAACAATATCCCGTCCTATCCTTGTCGCTAGGACACCTCCATCTAACATGTCCTATCCCCAGACATCTATAGCATTGAAGGGGTCTCCTTCTGAGCAGCTCCACTCTCGCAGTGGCCCACCCGATTCGAAGACCCCCTGTATCTACAATCTTTAGTGCGGCATCCAACGGACATTGCAGCCACACTGTCCTCGTCCCGTTCCTTGCAATTCTTGCATTGCCAAGTCTGACATCCTCTGCCCGGCAGCATCCAGTTTCCACCACAGTCTTCAGGACTTCTTCAGCCGTAACCGAGGCGTCCAGGCCCGAAAGTCTCAGTTCTCCCTTCATGGTCGGTCTACCAACCCGAACTCCAGTGTCCTGGAATGCATCCCGAAGCTTGGATGCGAGAGCGTCCGCCGCCGTCGCCCTGTCAGAACCCGGTAGCTCGATTAGGACCCCTCCAGACACCGTATTCCTCATCCTGGTATCGGCGATTCCCAGGTCGTCCAGGACTATCTTTTCCCTCGCAGTCCTAATCGCCTCAGCATAGGACATCCCCCCCTCAGGACAGGAGAGCGTCACTGCCGAGGATCTGGGGGGGCGCCTCGAGGGCAAACCCTCCCTCGTTCTCCGGGCCAGCGGGGGATTTTCTGCTGCACGAGTTTCCCTCTTTCGTGGCTGGTCTCTTACCGTCCCTTCGTGAACCTCCTCCCGCCTATCCTTACCACTGGCATATCCACCTTCTTTGACTAAATGTCCCCTATCCAAAGGTGGAACCTGTGCGTTCGTTGTCCTCTCGCGAGCGCTTTTCCTTTGTTTCTTTTTTGTCCATGGAACAGGGGGGGGAACCCGTCATCCTCCGTGTCAAATCTGTTGGAATCCATCATTGCAGATGACGAAGCCGTGTCCTCCCTTGCCGGAAGGCGAGGGGCAACCTCTCTTCTTACTGCACCAATCCGTTGTCTGCCCCCGATCTGACTGCCCGGGATCATCGTGGTTATAGCCTCGGCCATAGCAATTTTGATTGTCGCTGCTAAGTCCGCTAGAAAGCCCTTGTCCATTGTCACTTGATTTGATGGGCCAGCCACTGGTATCTCTTCCCGTCTTTTTGGTTGTTCTCTTAGCCCTTCCATTATATTTGTCGGGCTGCCCAGTACCATTCTAGTTGCTTCCGCAGGATGTTTATCTATCTGGGGGGGGTCCACTAGCTGTGCCCCCGCGTCCGCGTTCATATCCATTAGTCCCTCAGCCGCACCTGGCACTTTTTCAGCCAAGATGTTCGTTAGCTTTTGTATTTGTAGCTTTGCTTCCGCCAGCTCTTCCTGTAGTTCCAGGATTCGATTCCGCAGAAATCCGGGATCACCCTCCGCTGAAGCTCTAACTGCCAAGGTCCGGATCGCGTGTCCGGCTGAGTGCACATCCACTTTCATTATCTTAGTTAACGAGCCCTTGATATTTGAAGATTTTCCACGAGCCGTTTCCACTTCCCCCAACCATTCCGAGGCCAATGCGGCTATATCACACGATGAGAGCTTCTCTAAGGCTTCTCTAAGTGCCCTTTCATCTGTAAGTGCTCTCTGCGTGTCGGACAGCTGGCCAACCGAGAGCCCACTAGAAATCTCCGCCTCATTCTCCCCGTCCTCCGATGAGTAAAAAACCCTCTTCCTCTTCTTCTGTTTGATAAAGAATAACTAAATTAACTAATTATTTATCGTCTGCTAGCGAGGAACAAACAGGGAGGGGGAAATCAAGATAGACTGCTGAAATGAGACTGTTATATAATATTGCGGTTATTTATTGAACAAAAGGAATAGTGAGTCGATAATTTATAGATGATTAAATTGTGAAACTCAATATCATTGGACATAGCGTCCAATGAGCTGACACAAGAGGCTCGTCAATAAGTCTCCTTGGCATTGACTCGTATATCGCCAAGCCTTAAGACGCCCTGATCGCTTTCAGTGACGCCGCTCCCTATTCCAAACCAATTTTAGGATCTCAGAGCTGTTATCACGTATGTGCTTCGGTGGGCTTTCGCCCGTTGCTCAATTAGCGATTCAACGTTAAAGCAGTGCCGTCTGCTGGTCAGACTCGGCTTCAATCGTTT